AAAAAAAAAAAACATAAAATCATTATCTGCATGATGATATTCTCATATTGAAAACAAATTGCATGCATCTAAAAATTTATTTTATACAATACTCTTTCCTATGTTGTTTACTTGTGAAAGAAAAAAAAAACAATTTTTTATCCTCGTGTCTTATCAGATATGCGTCGTCATCTCGGTAAATTCAATTCTTTTTTTTGCAACACTATGCACTATTAATTTTTTTTTCTCCCTTTATCCTCACTAAAACACCCGTTTTCTTTTCAATTCACCTGATTGATGTGATTATAGATATTAAATTTATCTGAAATTAAATTAAAAAAGAAAAATCTTTTTATTTTCTTTTATTCTTAAATGTAGAAGCTGATCTAGTTAAATTATCATCTGCAAGTGTATTAACTCCAATACAAGAACTTGGTGTCAATAAAGCTTTAAAGTTTGTTGTTTTAGATCGAATTGATTTTGATTTATATTTATTTGTTTGATTTCATTTTTTTCTTCTTAGTTATGGTGTTCGTATTGGACTTGTACAAGATCAATCTGTTGGTCAACAAAATCTTATTCGATTACTTAAAGCACTTAAAACACATTTAAAACAAAAAATAGCAATATCATCTTCATCATCATCAAATACAACTAATAAAACAATTGCAGCAACATCAACAAATCCTACATTAACTAATTTAATAGCTATAACTGCATCAGATAGTACTGGAAATAAATTAAGTATGTTTGAAAATATTAAAAGAAGAAATTAGAAGAATTTTAAGTTTTTCATAAATAGAAATACGACTATAAGGTTTCCACTACAGAATGGACTATATGTAGACTTGTAGAGGAAGACTTACTCTATCCAATGATGTATACTGTGTTAAATTCTACTACATACCGCTGATATCTCAATAGACGGCGTCACCTATCGACAGATCAACAATATGCAAGAGAACTAGGGTTCTTGATAGTTTTTAAAAGCGACAGAGGCATAGAAATTAGCAGAAAGTAACTGAGAAAAGCTGCCTTCTCAAATTTGACAGATAGTTTTTCGCAGATGCAATCTAAAAATTGAAGAAAGTCTTTCTCTAGAATACTATATATATCCCTTTCTGTAGTCAATAATCATTGAAAAACTGACAGTTGCATTTCATTAATGTTTTTCAAATCGATTTAGATTATGTAAAAAAATGTATGAAGTAAAACCAACAATTAAATTTATTGAAAGACTTTTTCTGTATTATATTTCATGATTTTGTACTGACTCATTATAGAAGGATGAGTAGAAATATCTGAGAGTAACAAAATTTTATGTCTATTATTTCATGTGATTGAATTAGAAAAAGGAAAAAGAGTGAACGAAAAAA